TCAGTGGTAATAATAATAATAATAATAATAATAATAATAAAAATAATAATGTTCTTATTTTCTTTGTTTCTATCAATATTATTACTATTTTCCTTAGTTTTATCATAATTGTCATTGACAATATGCTCGCTTTTAGCATTGTTGTCGAATTCGTATGCTAAGCTGTTGCAATCGGGGAGAGGTTTGCACCATTGGCATAGAAGAGTAAGGCTGCACTCAACGACCATTAGCAAACGTTTCTTCTCTTACTGTTCTCAGAGCAAAGTTAACGTCTCAAATCGAAGCAAATGAGAACTGGAGCGATTTCTCAATCTCAAATACCTTTCCGTCACTCATTCTGAAGTTTCTCACAAAACTCTATCAATATACAACACAGTCATCGTGGTCAATTGAACAATTGAACAATTGAACAATTGAACAATTGAACAATTGAACTCATCATTTCTCACCAGTCGGATCCGACGGGTGTTAGTTGTCGCCTTATTGCATTCGAATCCGTCGGATGATATGTGATACGCGTCACTCGGACGAAGGACACATGCATTGCGCGCGCACGCGTGTGTGTGTGTGTGTGTGTCTGCTTATGTGTTGTGCAATAGGTTCGACGACTAACTCATTCAGACCGTGCACGCATACACGCATGCATCCGCGTACGCGAGCAAGCACGCACGCACGCATACACGCACGAAAGCCAGTACGAAAGGGAACTAAGAAACAAACAAACACTCACATTGGGCGTGGAAGATCGAGAGGAAGTGGGCGATGAGTAAGAAAGCGAGAGAAGGAGAGAGAAGGAGAGAGAGAAAGAAGTGTGCTATCAATCACACTTGGTCGCTTGTCGCGTGACCCTCAGCCGCATTCGACCAGGACCACACGAACTGTTTTCAACCACTCATCACCAAATTGTTCTCCATGATCAGCTAAACTAACAGTCAGGCTACGAACGATAACATGAACAAAACCGATCATGCGACCAATTGAACTACTGAGATATATAGATTCTTTGATCGAACAGTCCACATGAACACACCGTATAACTAACTAATTAGCTGTCACTAGACGAGCGAGTGTGTTCTGTCGTTTTCAGTCGCGCCCTGGGCGCCATTCAGTATTAGAGCACACGCAGATGCTTAGTCAACAACAGTAAGTCCGTCACTCGCCCGGGGCCGTCACAATATCCTATATGGTTCCTATCAACCGATTTGTCTTCATTGTATTGTTTATTTGATTCGTGTTTCTGTCACATGAAGGGTTTGCAGTGCGTTTTGCGCTGATTGGAACATACTGACTGCGCCCGTTCCGATGGATGTTCAAGCTATCGTTCTATTCGCCAATGCAAAGTGGAGCGACATGTTTACTTTAAGAGATGGCGGATGAGGGCTGACAAGCGTAAGACAACGTTCGGTCAGTGAATAGAATTTGGATCATTTCCCGTTGTGAGAGATCAGATAGGACGTATGAGATGGAGATGGCACATCGAGCGTGCGTGCGTGCGTGCGTGCGTGTGAGATGAGATTATGATTGTGGGAAAATGGGACACGGGCCTGGCCGGGATTCGAACCCGGGACCACTCGCACCCTAAGCGAGTATCATACCCCTAGACCACCAGGCCGCAACACGAATACAACTTCCAGACATCAACATGGATAGAAACAGGCAACGCGATACGTCTACATCACTCTCCTAACACCTCGTTGGTCAATTCCAAAACCGATCATTGCAATCTATGCAGCAATGCACAGTCCCATCGCCCCATCAACAAAACATGCCTGAAATTGGAACACTACGCCCAGTTGGGCATTCAAGTCAAATAAGCTCCATTCAACTCACACAGGATTTTACTCAACATTCCATATTCGCCGACAATCTGCACGCTACTCTCAACCATACACCACAAACAATACTCCAAAATTATAGGGAGGCAGTAGTAGTGGCCACGAGAAACGCAACTGATGGAAAATAATGCTCGTAATGAAACTAGAAAATCCGAACGATTCAACAACTATGCCAGAGAACTTCATGTCTCATGTAGAAAAGTCATGCTAGTCCATGTGTCATCGATTCATAAATCATCGGTAATCACTGGTGCTGAAAATTCATCCTATTGGGTGCATAAATATTAACTTCAATTCACTTGACTTCACTTGACCCAAACATATCAACCATTTGTGCCGTGTGGGTAACAGCCTATTTCAATACTATATCACACACTAGCTAGCATCTCTGGGATCCCCGATGCATGGAACAATTGCCACGTGCCGGAAAGTCAACTCTAATATACTCCTCTAGAAGACTGGCTGACAAATGTGATCCTCGTCGCACAGTCAAAGCATGTCTATCAATTTGAAACGAATGCTTCGAGAGGTTGTTTGCGAACAGTTTATCACTCTATGTAGATATTCATAACACACATCCCCGTTTACATACACATCTGTGTTCGCACCGCGAATTTGATGGGCCAAATTTTCTTGCGCATAACGATAATAATAATGAAAATAATATTACTATTACGTCCGATGGGCAAAAATCAGTGTTGAATTATCGCGGATAAATCAAAACTTCTCTCCACCCATTAATCTCCCGCTGTCCCGATATCACTGCCCCCCCCCTCTATCTCTCTCTCTCGCTCTCGCTCTCGCTCTCGCTCTCGCTCTCGCTCTCGCTCTCGCTCTCAAGCTTCCGCTCTTGCTCCGTCCATCGAGTTGCTATTTGCATCGGTCATGAATGATATATAATAGCGATAATAGAGATCCGGTCTGATGGATGCCCGCTCGATAAGTGTCAGTATACGGGGAGCATTGAAGAATGGATGGTGGGTATTGCAGAGAAAAGTATCTATGAGAACAAGAGAAGTGTGATAGTTCGAGTTGATCCGGCCGGCATATGACGTTTATGATTTTGAAAAACGGAGCGGCTATTTAACTGTTAGTTTATGTACGGATTTGAATGGTTGGCGAGATGTGTGGTGCGTTGACGAAACTGTGCATGGGCGCATAGATTGCAATGATTGGTTTTGGAATTGACCAATGAGGTGTTAGGAGAGTGGTGTAGACGTATCGCGTTGCCTGTTTCTATTCATGTTGATGTCTGGAAGTTGTATTCGTGTTGCGGCCTGGTGGTCTAGGGGTATGATACTCGCTTAGGGTGCGAGTGGTCCC